AATTAGGCCCAACCTCTCCATCTTTTGCTTATCGCTTGATTTGTGTACATAGGGAGCTTGGCAGCGATCAGTGAAGTTCGATTCATTGTATCTCGCTGTACAATGATGATTATGATAAACCGTCGGTGCGTTCAGTTTCAGTTTCTACAGTCATTAACCGTGCACCAGTTTTGGTTGCTGTCTTTTGGCTGCCCATTTGGATGAACATTAGGAGAAAGACAAGAAAGGTTGAAGGTAGGATCGAAGACAGAATTTAGGATTTCATTGCACTAATGTTGCAGGGAAATTGACAAGATGCACGAAAGCCACTGTTTACGACACTCAGCCATATCACTCAGTGTCTCTAACCATCGGTTATGATCATCCCGAAGTCTCCATCCAGGGAGCCTAACGGGACCTATGTGACCCAGACTCCGGGTTACGGTTTTCGTACCCTCGTGCCAGGTCTTAGCTTGACCACCGTTGACTTTCTTCCACCCACTGCTTACCTCGGCGAACAGCGCTCGCCATGGCAACCTATTTGGTGACATGCGTAAGACATGTCCCAACCAACGTAATCTATGGGGGTGGACCACTTGATCCAGTGGGCAACTGCGATTACCCAAAACTCTGTGCCTTACCTCAGCATTACTCGTCCGGCTGCTCCACCAGAATCGTGCAGTGCTACGTAGACAGCGATGTTCAAACACCGACAGTCTATCTTTATCTTGTTTTCCTAATGGCCAAGTTTCTGCGCCGTATACCAGAACTGGTGGAACTGCCGTGGCATAAACTCGGCCCTTAACGACAGCCGGATGTGCGTACTATTTTGCGGCCTTGTATGAATTTGTACCACGCCATTTCTGGTTAAGGAATGGAAACCATTGAGTTGCATGGGTGATCGTCAAGATCGTGAACGCATGACCACGTGAATTGAACAGTTCCTTGTATTTTCCATGCGTGTATAGTGTGATTTGTTTTCAGTATTCACAAATTAATGCAATAATAAGCCTACACCCGATCATCTGAGGGTGGTCAAGGGAACGTTCAAGCTGGAACCAGCTTTTTATTTTGCTTTTTGCAGATAAGGTTAAGCAGGAATATGACGGAAAAGGTAGAACATTTCACGGTTTTGCAGTTCTTGAGAGGGAGAAAACAATTAGTGGGAGTTAGAAGTGCGAAATATGGGGATTTTCGTTTGGAATGGTTCACCGGGTGTTTAAGTACGTGACCTATATTGAAGAAAGGGAATGGATGAAAGATACGAGTCCGGTTGAACAAAGAACAAACCAGTAATCCTACAGGAAGGATTGGCAAGAGGTTACTTCACAGTGGGCTAGTATAATTGCAAATTGCACGAGGCAGATGACTTTCCTTTGAACTTAATCCAAAAGATACAGAGAAGTTAACGAGGATTTCCACTCCACACATTATCGCAGTATCCAAGTGTAGGACTAATCAGAGCTTTGAAAGGTGAGAAGAGATTAGTGAAATTATCGAAACACCTGATGTGGAAGAGAATACCTGTGTTGCACACAACGCATGAGGTAAGCAAATCGGTATTCGTTAGTCGACAACCTTTGAGTGAAAATGTGATGTGGGAGGGATAGATAAATGGATATAATTGAGGTTATAGTGAGAAAAACGTCAATCAGTAATAAGACTAAGTGTAGAATAAAAGGAGGGGAGGATATTGCAAATTTTGAGATTGGTGGAGCGAAACTTGGAACAGGAAAAGGCAGAGTGTAAACTAGTGGCATCATCCAGAAAATCATGAAAATTGAGAACAGAATGTGATCGGTGTAACTCAAGAAATTTGGGGAAGAGTACGAAACTTGGAGCGACATATCGGCATTCGCTGGTACGAAACGGGGAGTGATTCCGTCCAATCGGACGGAGATGATACCATGGTTGGAAAAGTTTTTGACTTTAGTAGTTTGGTCGCTTATCGCCAAGTCGAGTATCGGTGGTCTAGAGCTCACTAGTGACGTTGATTAAAACTGTGGGACGACCACGACCAACTGGGTAATGGTTTAGTCACTGTTGCTTTGGGCCCTATGACCCGAGGTTCGAACCCCACCACCGCCACCCAACTCTGCTTTTGTCCGGTCCACTACCACACCTGACCCAGTGTGGCTTTATGTGGTTCGTCACTCCAAGTCCTGAGGCTTCGTTTACCGGTTTCCACCACAGAATAGCAGATGTTCGTGACTATGGGGTTCATCCGATTGCTGTTCATTACAGAAGTGTGTGTAAAAAAATCGCTGTCATCACTCAAACAGGTTTTATCTCAATAGCGAGTAGCTAGTCTGTGACATGAAACGAATCAGCTACCGCGAGGTCTGTTAGGCTGAGATTTTTACTCCACTTTTTGATAAGTGGATCTGTTCACGTCATGAATGTCCTATTTGTTGCGATCATATTCCCATCTACTCATTTCGTTTCATTGGAACAGGTTAAGAAAAAATGGGAAAACTTAGTTTCGAAAACAAAGCAAAAATTACGTTCCGGTCGTGTGACCGCCGATACCGATTGGAGTGATACAAACACGGCCGTGTTGGAATTTTTAGCTCACCACAATCCGTTCCTACGTATGCGTTACGCCACAGCAGCCGCCTCGATCTTGTCATCCGCCGGCACAGCCGGTAGCGGTGGAAGAACAAGCGGTAAACGATCCAGTGGGACAGCCACTATCACTACCGATTTTGCCGGATTGACTCGTATGTACGATTCACAAATGCAATCCCTCGGTTTACCCGGTCTCAGTGGATCCCTTGGTATTGATCCCCATAACAACGAGCAGCAACAACAGCAGCAGCATCACCAACAGCAGCAGCAACAACAACACTTACTTACTCTGATCAAAGAAGAAGTGAAGAGTGTTTCCTCGACCGAAATGAATCCGGAAGATGAGTCAGGCGATGCACTGTCCGCATCCGGAATCAAATCCACCGCCGGTAATCGCGAGTCAAACAATTTAGACAATCGGTAAGTTTCTGGATATCTGTTGTCACATGTATTCATGAGGAAAATCGATTTTTATTGAATGTTGCTGAGCAGTTTTATTAATAATAGCCCTATCAAATTCGTAGACTCTGAAGTGTAAGTGTGAAAACTTCAAATCGAAGATCTATCCATTCGGACTTCTGTGTGTTGATCATAGAGGTTCACTTTCTTTTCCACCCTCCAATCAGGCCCAATCTCTCTTCATCTTATGCATTATCACTCGATTTGTGTACATTGTGAGCCTGGCAGTGCTCAGTGAAGTTCGCTTCGGTGTATCTCGCTGTACAATAATAATAATAATAATAATAATACTAATAATAATAATAATGATGATGATTCGTACTTCCCGTTAGCACTATAGAAAAACCGGACAATCATTTTTGTTATAGTTGATAACGTTTTGCTCCATCGATCTGTCTGTCTATCTTTCGTAACACTGACGTAAAATGTGGTTCCGCTTTGACAAATATCCAACGGTCAGAATGATGGACCTTCATGTAACTTTTCACAATTCTCATCTGACTAGAGGGTGTTAATCGTTGATTGCCTAACCTGCATGCATCCCAGATCTCAAACTAGTGGAGAACATGTTTTTTTATTACACAGAAGAGAATACAGTAAAAAGGGGTGGGTGGGTGGTAAACCCCATAATCCATGAGCATACTGTACATGACAGGGTAAGGAGAATATTCAAGCTAGAAACAACTTGTTGATTCTGCTTTTAAAGACAAACGTGTTGTACGTTGGGGAGGGGATGACTGTTCTTCGGAAAGAATATGACTGCAAGTGAGGAATGCAGCACCTGGGAATAGTCACTTGAAATAGGCGGCGGAACCAGCGAGGAAGAACACGTGGAAGAGAGGGACGGGAGTAGTGAGTTCACTACAACAAAATCGAAATTAGTATTGTTTTCGGACAAAGATCATTGCTATTCGTCGTCGCAAGATAAGCTCGGCTGCATATTTGCTAATTCTGTGAAGAAAATCGAACAAATTTACAACACATTCGACTCTAATTAGGCTAATCTCGGATCAATATTAATCTCGCGAAGATTAATCAATAATATTGCGTCGCACGGCAATATTCACTCTGTCCGCCCGTCCGTCTAATCTGTGGTCTATGACCAGTTGAACTTCGCGAACTGTGTAATTGATTGGTACAATCTTTTTCTTGCATTGATCGATGTTATTTTTGAGTCACATATAAGTATCAGAGTAAAACTTGTAAAATGGCTTGTGTGCAAGATCATTAAAAACCCGTGCTGCTGAAACGGTGTATTCTCTCTCGTGTTTTGGGAGGCCTGAGAGATCGATAGCCGACCCTGCGTCCTGTGTTTCGCTTGGGTAGCTTCTGCTCCTATCATTTGTTCACGGACTTAGTGCTAGTTCGCGGTTCTCGTGTTCCCGTGTGGTACTTGTGTTACTGTGCTGTCTTGGGTTCCTTACACGTGTGGTGTTCATCTGTGATATAGTGCTGTGTGACATAATAGTAGGCAACGGATATAAGCGGCGTAAAACATAACATATTGATAGAATAAAGTTCAGGAAGTGACTGCTCGACGGTGGTGGGAAATGGGTTAAGGTGAACGACACCAGCGGCGGAACGCTGATTTTGTTTACGAACAGCGCGACAACAGACGTGGTTAAACTCTTCTGGAGAAAACGGTTTACCAGGTTTAGAGAAATGAGAAATAATTAGGTGCATATCGTACAAATATAAATGCGTTCACTTACGATGCAAAGATCTGTGACGACCGGCAAAGAGCATTGGGCAGCTGTTTCGCCCTGTTTTGGACTCGTCAGAAGTGCGTACTTTTTGAGTCCCTATTAGGACTCGAAACACGAACATTCGGGCCGGGACTTCAAACCCTTATCTCTAAACTACACTGTCGACGGTCATCTCCTTGTTCGAATCATGTTTGGATTGGCCCATTCGATTGTTTAGATACACTAGGCACTCTTGGTGGTCTTGGATGTGGGCTTCACTACTTGGGAGATTGTTGATTCCTCACCAGTTGAATGCATTTAATTTCGGTGAAAATCGATCTCCTAAGTAGTGAAATCCCCACCCGAGATCATCAAGAGTGCCAAGTGCCTCTGAACAATCGAATGGGCTAATCCAAACTTGATGCATTTGGTGTTAGGACTCAGCGCTCAGAACCCATCAGGCCACGCATCGATCCGTGTGACACCACAAGTGCGTTCGTGATGCCCAAAGGCAAATCGATTCCAGATTGGCTAAGGCGAATCAAACAACCGTCGTCCGATCGATGAACCGCAGTATTAAGGACGCAATCTGATCATTTACGCCGAATTTACCACATTTATTTATGTATTGTGCCATGATCAATAATGCACTCTGTCGTTTTCTCAGCCGTGTTCTCCCTCTCTCCATATCGTTGTTGGGGGATAGTCAAGAGATAGTCATATCGATCATACTTCTTGGCAAGACATAGCACTTGCAAAAAAGAAAATTTCGAAGCCGGGATAAAGACATCGGTAGAGAAGCAATAGTCATTTCAGGGGTCGGAAGCCAGAAAGTTATAAAAGTTATACCAATCAGCGGAACCGTATCGCTAGAATGTGTGTATAGAGTTGAGAGCAACAGTGGAACGGATAATTTAGATAGATGAGTGGTGNGTGGTGGCGCAGTGGTTTAGTCGCTGTCACCGGCGTGCTTTGAACCCTATGGTCCGAGGTTCGAGACCCGCCACCGCCACCCGACTTTGGTGGTAGGCAGCTGTGCTGTCGTCCGGTTCAATACCACGCCTAACCTATCGAGGCCTTATGTGGTTCGCCACTCCAAGTTCCGGGGCTTAGGTTGCCAATTTTAACCACGGGGTTTACCCCGTCTGCAATTCATCACACCTAGGTGTGTAATAAAAAAAGAGGGTTAAATCAGAGCAGTCTGACGAGCCAAGGGGAAGAACCGTAGCAATATTGGATGTGAGGACAAGATTGACGATATGAGCCTGATTGCCAGCACGATCAGGAGTAACGGTCAGGAATTCGACCAGTTGATATAGGCTGTTTAATAGGGTAAATCATTCTCCTTCACATCCAAGAAGCGATGTCCCTGAGGAGTGTAGCAGCCATTCCCTGTTATGGAGATCTAAATTACCCAAAATTTTGAACTGCGCAAACAGTGAAGAGTTGCTTCTGTTTGAAGAAATGGCGTACAATGCAGAAGTGGTAGTAGTAGTAGTGGTAGTGGTAGTGGGTGATAGAAGGGAACCGAAGTTTCAGCCATAAAGTCTGGAACTCGCGGTTGATGATACTTAAGTAGGAGAACGGGGTTATAAGCAATTGGATGATGAATAAAAACAGAAACACTAGCTTTGGGGATGAATGACGTGTGAAGGGAATTGTTGGGAATTTGAAGATGGATGGTGTCGGTAGAAGCGGAAAGTTGAGTTTCGGATAAAAATAGAGCAAGAGGGGAAGTAGACTGAAGAAATTGATATACAGAATCAATATTGTGGTTTAAGCCACAAATGTCAGTTAGTGCCATTGTCGAGTGAGACTGCGCTTAAGTAGTAATCGTGTTAGTTGTAGTATCAATATATATATATATATATATATATATATATATATTGAGAGGAGAGGTTACCAGCAACCTGGCCCTGCAACTTGTAATAGCGAGCCACCTAAGGTCCCGATGCCTAGGCGGTGGCAATGGCCCGGACGACCGCAGAACCGTCTACCACCACGAAGCATTGGAGAATATATGAATCGAAGGATAAAATAGGGGCCACTCGAAAAGGGAAAGAGATATCTATTGATACGGAACTGTTTCGGAAACTTATAGAAAGTATGCCCAGAACATGCATTCACGTTTGGATACGGAAAATAACGGAAACTGCTGGGGTAGGATCGATGGCTGTTCACTAGGCTCTCTCACATGCAAAACAGGCAACTGGATAATGTACTAATCATATTGATTGTGTACTGGACGTTCTTTTTTAATTCACAGCGGGATCCATAAAATACTGCACCGAATAAACTGAATTTGGAGAAACCAGATTTCTATTGTGATTGATGGAGAGGTTTCTTTGTAAGGAACGCAGAATAACGATTGGGGAATGGAAGTCTGTAAAGTGTGCTCAACGGGTTTAATGTCAGATGTGTACTCTAACAATCATTTCATCACAACTCTCAATGACAATTTTTTTCAATCGACTGCTTTTACCCAATAAAATCTCTTCCACTGATGCGATTTTTAGCGACAAGAGGCAAACATACCTTACAAGCAAATGTAGTAATCGTTCCGTAGCATCTTCCTGGCTTAATTCAGAATTGTTATGTGATTAGTTCGTTGAAATAGCGTCTGGTGCATCGTGCTTTTGTGGGTCGCGAAAATTTTCCGCGTTGTACGAAAGCATTAGATCAAATATGAGCTCCACTTCTTTATTATCAAACACTAGGTCAAAAAGCATCTACAGTGGCCTTTATGTAGCTTTCGGCCCTATAAAACCGAAATAAATCTGTATCAGACGAATGACCTGTTATCCAGCTATTGCTTTGGTGCCAGAAGGTTGACAAAACGTGGCAGGTAGATCAGAAGTACACAAGTCCCGCCCCAAGTTCATCGTTTAGCCCTAAAAGAGTGGATGGTTTTGGGAAAGAAGCGTCTCGAGGAATCGTTGCGGTGATCCCATGGTTACGATGTTTCAACAACGTTGACTTTAAGGTCAATTATCATGGCTATTTGTTCCGAGTGGTATGTCGACAAAAAAAATCAAATTTCGCTGATTGCGCAACTTGTTTGGAGCAAACAGAGATAGTATGACAATCGTTATTACATCAGAAGTGCAGTGCTCAGAGTAATCTGACGGAATACACCGTGAACTGGTCGCTTTACGAAGAATGAAGATGTCTCTTGCCTGCCAGGTTGGGAACAGTGAAGTTCGCTTCACTGTATTTCGCTGTACAATGATGATGATGAGTGAAGATGTCACCTCGGCTGGCCATGAAACGTTTGCAAACG